TCAGCAACTGTTTGGTTACCAATATTGTTCCAAATATATTCTTTTGTGTTCAACAGCAGAAGGAATCTCATACAGGTTTAGAACAACAACAGAATTTTCATTTTTGGGTGAACTATTCCTCTAAAGCAGCCTAATATAGCTGCTGTTGCCATTTGTGTCAATGATGTAAATCAAACATCAGAAACAAAATCACTCACTGTCCTTGAGAATTCATGTATATTGAATTTATACAGTGAAGACTATTCAGTCTATTTGAATTACAGAATGTGCATTGTGAAGAGATGTCCAACTTAAATTTTGAGAGTAAAGAATTACAGGGATAGTACATATGAAGAATCTTATAGTAAAGTTCTTTCATCTTGTTAGGTAACAGAAACTTGTTAATACCGGCCCATATTTTAATAGTAGAAAGAAAAGGGTCATTTATTTTCCACTTATAAAATGCTTTAGGATGACAACTAAACTTCTTAATAAGGATTTTTCTAATCCAGAAATTGTTACATTTAACATTAGAAAGCTCCAGACCTCCAATACAAATTTTTGGCATTTCACATTTTGAAGATCTGTAACAATTTGCCCTAACCAAATGTAACAGTTTAGGTGAAATATAATTAATAACCCATTCATACACTCTAGGTGAGGTATCCACTTCAAAGATTTCTGAAAATTCGGAATAGGAATAGAAGTTACCATCCTTTTTTAACAAATCTAAAACAAACATTAAACCTTTGTCAAACCAGTTTTTAATAAAGACATATTTTTTTCCACACAGCACATTCTGATTATTCCGTAGAACACATGAGGGGAAAAATTGTGACAGAAGGCAAGCTTACAAGCGTCCAGAGCTTGCTTATGAAAATTAGCGAGCTTAACTCATAGACAGCAAGGATAATTACACGATCAAGGTCCAGAAACGTAGCAAGGAGATCGGTAAAATAATCCATGTGACATCAGGGGTTCAACCGTAATATTACGAAGCTACGAGAATACTTTTTGTGCGCAAAGAAAAACGACTTTATTCAACAATACTGACACAGCTGACACATAAATAAACTTTGTTGAATAAAGTCGTTTTTTTTTCTTTTGCGCACAAAATGTATTCTCGTAGCTTCATAAAATTATGGTTGAACCCCTGATGTCTCATGGATTATTTTACAGTCTTAATCTTACCGTTTTAAATAATAAAAATGTACTTGAAAATGTGTATATATATAGAACAAGAACAGTTCATTTACTCAGTTCATAATCACTGAGGTAACATTTAGAGGTAAAACCCAGGGCAACCCACAGTGCACAATCTAAGGTAGTGAAAGTACAAACATTTTTTTTGTTTGTTTGTTTTTTGGAATCTGTCAAAAGCTTGTAATTGCTGTGAAAGAATTTTGAAAAAAAAAATTAATATTCACCAAAGTTGCATTAAACAACAAAAGTCATGATAATACAAAAGACTATTTTATTTCTAAGAAGTGATGTTTTCTTCAAACCTTTAGTGAAACAATTCTCCACTTGCAGCAACGAATGCTCTAACCTATGATTTACAGCAGTCAGTTTATCAGGATCTCATGATTTTTGTTGCTTTTCCCATATTACTGATCAAAATGATAAATTCAATAAGTCATGGCAACATATGTTTTTTCATTACTCAGTGGTGTAAAGTATTTGAGTAAATGTAATTGTACTTAAGTATATTTTGGGCTACTTTTGTAGTTTTACTGAGTATTAAAGATATTAGGAACTTTTACTCCCTACTTGTCTACATTTCTGAATATGTACTCTTCACTCAAATTCTTTTGTGATGAGTAATGCAATTACTGGTTACATTTTCCATGGCACCTAATTTTTTTCACCATCTACAGGGGAATGAAGGTACTATAAATGCAGAGCCCAAATTCTGAGTATAGATTACCGTACTTGGCTACACGTCACCTCACTTAAAATTTTTTTTTAAATAATAATGTATGTCTTGTGCATTTTTCCCTTACTCACCCAGTCTTGTCAACAAATCTACTTTACACAAATGTGAAAACATTTATTAGCAGGTAGTTGTGAATCGCAAGTGTTTCATATATGAATTCAAAACTGTCAAGGGGTAATTAATTTTAACAAATCATGTAAAAATGTCTTTTATTTAATGCCTTTTATCTTTTATTGGATAATTAAACACTATTTCAGTAAACTTTAATAATTGCCTTAATCTTTTACACAACTGAGATAGTGATCTATAAAAAAAATACCAAATTTTTATAACAAATGTATTAACAGCATGTTGTGGCGGCATGCTGCTCAGGCCGCCATTTTCTCCTTCTTCAGGGAAAGCGTTGATGTATTCAAAACATTCGGTAGTGTGGGTTTTCTAGGAAATGTGTGTACTTCCTGAACCTCTGGTTCTTGTAAATACTACTGTGTATTTGCATTTATTTGACAGACAAAATGTTATGTTCAGCTTTTCCAAATTTACTGACTTGAAATTCACTTGAGTCAAATTTTGACTCAAATTAGATGAGGATATGGCTGAGACCTTTTTGAAGGATACTGGTTTACTGAATCCCTTTTTGAAGACTTGAGCTTAACCAAGACTTTATTGTTTGTACTCATTTAAGAGGTTGTTGTGTTTGCCTTAATTTATTGCAATATTGAGGTGTTCAGTTTAGGTTTTGAGTTTAGAAAATAAACGTGTTTGCTCTCCTCACAAATCAACCGTTTCTTTTATTTCACAGGCATTTCTTTTAGGAGTTGAGGACTAGTGCATCTTTTAGCCTACATTTAGTACTAGTAAAACAATTAAGTCCTATTAAAATCAGAGACTCTAAGACTTTTACTCATATAAGGTGACTCGTAACTTGTATTGGAGTCATCACTGTGAGGTATCTGTACTTTTACTCAAGTATGGCTTTTAGGTACTCTTTATGCCTCTGCCATTACTTTAACTCGTCAAATAAATGTAACCAATTTCAACTGCATTAATACAAGTTTATACGAGATTCAAACTCAATCACATCAGTTTAATATAATTTAAGTTGAAATGATTTGTACAGCCAATTTGATTATGCTTAAAAATTTAAGGCAGAAAATTTAAGACAGATCTTACAATGCAATCAACCAGGGCCCAAAGCAGCAACCTGCACTGGGGCCCCACATACCCTAGCTATGGACTTGAAGATACTACAGACTGCTGAATGCATTGTTTTGCTCAGGTGATCCTGTAGTGAATGACGTGTTGTACCAGGTGTGAGAACAAGGAAGGGCGTGTACAGTAGTTTCATTTTCACCCAAATCTGAAGACCGTGGGGAGTTTTTGTAATGCCATTATAGCAAAAAGAAACTATTGTACGTAAGTATTATTATTTTTATTGGTCATGGTTAAAGTTAGGCTATTGGAGTAAAGTTTCTTGTTTTTAATCATACTTGATTCATTTGTTTGTTCAGCTCTATGGAATTGTCTTGAAAAGTTGACTTGACTTTTTTTATGAAATATAAACAACATGGATCTGACCACTTGCCTCTTGAAAATTGGACATAATGATGGCCAGCATAATTTACTAAAGTGAATTAAGAAGTCCGGTGGCTCATATGTATGGATTTGTCAATTATAAACCAGACATTAAAGGCCTAACTTTTAAACTGTAATTTAATGGTTTGAATAAAATATTGGTGCGCTCTGATGATAAACGTCAGTTTAATTCACTTAAAAGCCTGGGTAAACAAAAATTATATTCCTATAATACTAAATGATGTGGCAAGCTCCTTTTTAAATGAAACTGACACGATTTCATTTCAACAACCAGTTATACATTATTTTGTAACCTAAAATTTCAATCACATTGCTATAGTTTTTGATTATAGGTGAACACAATAATAGGAATATGGTTGATTACATGGAGGTAGATAGAAATTTGACAGAAATATATCAAACTTATTAATCAGAACATTTGTTGTACATTTTTTGTACTTCTAAAACTAGTTCTGAAAAAATTAATAAATCTGGAGCTGAAGAAGCATTTATGAATAAAATGTATTAAATATCCTTAATGGCAATAGTGTTTAACATCTCTCCACAGACTGTAATGAACATTTGAAGATCCATGGCAAACCTCCTTTCAGGATTTTTAGAAGGACCCAGAAAAACAGACCCCCTAATAAAATGCATCATAAAGAACAAAGCAGAGAGACTTAGCAAATTAATAAGAGGCCGAGATATTAATGGACTGTACCCTTCTGAAGACTGGAAGGATGATATAACTTTATTAACTGCAGCAGTTTTAAACTTAAATGAAGAAATCTGCTCTTATCTACTTAAAGAGTCAGCTGATCCAAACAAACCCTCAATAAATGGACTAACTCCTCTACATTACGCTACTTTAACACCTGGAGTTCCACTGAGTATCGTGAAAAGATTACTTGCAGCAAAACCTAACCCAAATGGACATGAATCACAATTTGCGACTCCACTGCAATGTGCTGTTGATCATGATCGTGAAGACATTGTGAAAGCACTTATAGAGGCTGGAGCATCTCCTATAAGGAACTATGGGGTGAATCCAGAGCTTGATAAAAAAGTGGAGCGAATGATTCATCAATTATCTTCACAGAGTGAAGTGTTTGAGAAAGTATATATATCTTTCTCTTTTTCTTGTGCTGTACAAACAAAAAAACAGACGGAAGTTTATAGAATCTATAAGGAACATTTCTTTCAAGAGGATCCTTTTGTTCATTTGATTTTTTTTGAGCTCTACTTTGGTGTCATTGGTCCAAGTGCAGAGCAGTATCATCAGAGCGCCATCAAGTGGTTAAAAGACACAAAGAATGCAGACAGATACATTGAGGGAGTCATCAAGCGCTTCCCAAGAATCTCTCAGGAACACTGGCGGATTGCACTGAACTGCTTAAATGCTGCTTTACGTATCAGCAAAAACAATTATCCTCAGGTATTCAGTGATCTTGTGCCAATTCTAACAAACTGTCTTCAGCACTCTGGAAATGAACGAGAAAAAATCAATCATCTGATTCTAAAGATACTCAATGTCATGATGCAGAAAACATCTGAGCAGAAACTGAGATTAAATCATTCTGTCTATGAGAAGTTATGCAATAGTCTACTGCCTCTCACACGTCCTGATTATTCAAGTCTAATTGGAGTTTGGACCTATGGACTGTTTGCCTATATAAATGACTTCGCTCCTGAACTTGTAGCATTGTGTGGATTGTCACCCATCCCAGAGGTGATACTTAACACTGCAGAGATAGAGATGGATGAAGTCATGAAAAAAAAGCTGCAAAAGTTGGATGAATCCCTGAGAAATCCGGCAGGTTCAAGTGCAGTGGATAGTTTGTGTGAGGAGACTGCAGCTCTATCAACAAGCAGGAAGAAGAAAAAGAAAAAGAAGAAGAAAAAAATCCAGCAAGAGGTGGGATCACAAGAAGGTGAGCTTCAAGATAAAGAGGAACTGTGTCCAGACACTGTAGTGACATCCATTGAGAAAACAAATACAGCTGTGCAGCAGTTAGCACAGCCAACTTTGAACTCAAATATCTCAAGAAGGTGGCTTCAGACTAGTCGTCGTTGGAGGCCGAAGCTTGAGAAGCTAGCTAACATTGATGCTAGCAGCACATCTAGACTGGGAAACCTTACTCTTGTACTCACTAATGAATTTCTGATCGCTAAAGGAAGTGATGGAACAGAAGTTTTCCTTGGTTTGAGGGATGACGGCACTGAGGTGGCTGTGAAACGAATGAACAGGTTTAATTACCAAGTTCTCAGAAATGAGGAGCAATTTTTACGACTTCCAGAACTCGATAGTCCCTCCATTGTGCGATATGTGGACTTTGCTGAAGATGACAATTTCGGATACCTTGTTCTTCAGCTTTGTGAGTACACACTGGAGGAATATATTCAAGATCATTTACCAGATGACAGCGCTGAGAGATCTTTGGTTCTGAAGATGCTGGTGAAGGAAGTTCTCTGCAGCTTACAGGTTTTACACGACCCGAAAACCAAAGTGCTCCATCGAGACATCAAACCCCAGAATGTCCTGATTGGTAAGATGTTCCCTTTCGATACTACACTCGTACTGCGTCTTGCTTAAGACGCTTTGGGAAAAGCCTTTTTTCTCCTGAACTGAAGCCTTTTTTCAATCACGCAGTGAAACTGCACGGCCATTGGTTCGTGCAGTGTATTAAAAATGAGCAGAGCTGCACGAGCCTATGGCGACAAAGCCCGCCAGAATGGGCGGGGCATCAGGCTATATAAGCGGGCGTTCGCCACAGGATACTCAGATTTCTTCTCCTTCAGCAACGTTTCTACGTCTCTATGCTGATCCAAAGCCGCTCGCCGTTGACACGCCTTCACAGCTGGAATCGGGACCTCTCAGCACGGCTGACCTGCTTCTCCGCCGCTTCAGTGACGCAGCAGTTCCGGTCCTTTTCCCCTGCCGCCAACCGGCATGCCGTTACTGCGGTTCGTACGGGTCTCCCCTGCACGCCGATGACGGCCACACGAAGTGCGTTTCCTGCTTGGGGAAATCCCATGCGGAGGCTGCACTCACTGGAACTATTTGTTCTCACTGCGAGAACTCTCGCCTCTCTCCGCTCACGGATCGCTTTCTTTTCAGAGCGCTGCTCCGCCCCTCGCACCCTCCCGTTTTCTTCCTCCCAGGGACCTGTGAGGAAAACACAGTGGGGCAGAGGGCTCGAGCGACCGGCTGCGAGCGAGCTCACATCGGCCCAGATCCTGCGTGCCTCGCTCTCGCCCCAGAGAGAGTGTTCTCCCGTCCTTTTCTCCCAGTCTAATCAGCATCCCTCTGCTGGTGCGAGCGACCTGATCTCATTTGGGGGAAGTGAGAATGAGCTGCTTGATGACAGCATCGGACGCAGAGGAGCTGTTGGGCTCGGTTGGGCCGCGCTCCCTACTCCGCCCGCCTCCGTACTGCTTCTTCATCCGCCCTCACTTCCATCGACGGCGCTGAAGAAAATGGGTATGATAAGCCACCTCCCCTGGATGAGTCAGTGGCTGCGCACCTCTGCCTGCCTACGGCCATCGGCTGGAGAGCAAAGGCCGCTCACCCGTCCAAGCCGTGTAGGACCACTTCAGCTCTCGCTGGATGCACCTACACTTCAGCTGGACAGGCGGCTTCGGCGTTTCATTCAATGGCGGTCCTCCAGGTCTTTCAGGCCAAGATCCTCGCATCCGCTGATGAGTCTGGCCTGGACCCCGCGACCCTCAGGGAGCTGAGGAGCGCAACTGACCTGGCTCTGCGCCCCACCAAGACCACCGCTCAGGCGATCGGGAGATCGATGGCCAGCCTTGTGTTGCTCGAGAGCCATTTGTGGCTGACGCTAACCGAGATCAAGGATGCGGATAAGATCCCCTTCCTCAATGCTCCAGTCTCTCCCAAGGGTCTCTTCGGACAGGCGGTCGAAGGATTCGCCGAGCACTTCACGGAGGCACAGAAATCGTCCCAAGCTATGCGACATTTCCTAAGCGCTCCAGCTCCGCTGCTGCCTCTGCTCGCCCTAAGCCTGCGCAGCAGATGCGGGGATGCTCTCGCATAGCCAAACGCTTCCCTTTTCCTAAGCGCCAGGCTCGCACCCTCCCGTTTTCTTCCTCCCAGGGACCTGTGAGGAAAACACAGTGGGGCAGAGGGCTCGAGCGACCGGCTGCGAGCGAGCTCACATCGGCCCAGATCCTGCGTGCCTCGCTCTCGCCCCAGAGAGAGTGTTCTCCCGTCCTTTTCTCCCAGTCTAATCAGCATCCCTCTGCTGGTGCGAGCGACCTGATCTGACGCTCCTGTCTCCCCCAAAGGTATTTTCGGCCCGGCAGTCGAAGGATTCGCTGAATGCTTCACGGAGGCACAGAAATCATCCCAGGCTATGCATCATTTCCTGCCTAAGCGCTCCAGCTCCGCTGCTGCCTCTGCTCGCCCTAAGCCTGCGCAGCAGATGCGGGGATGCTCTCGCATAGCCAAACGCTTCCCTTTTCCTAAGCGCCAGGGACCCCGACCCAAGATTGCGTTGGACCCGGCGCCTCAGGCGTCATCCTGATCTGCGAGACAGGAAGAGGACAGGGCCAGATCTCGCTACGGCCAGACCACCCCTCAAGCAGCCTCTCTTAGACTTCTTGACACCCCGTTCAACTCTGGGTACAGAGGGAAATGTGTTTTGTGCAAACAACGGGTCCGTTTATGCACCCAAGCATTCAGCCGCTGTGATAGCGGGAAAAATAAAACACAAACATTTTCAAAGAGAGAGCAAACTTCCTCTTCCATTACTCACAAGTGTTCTGCCCCCGGGCGGCCAGTCACTCGAGTTAATTCAACCCCTCGCCACGCGGGCCGAGGCCTGGCAGGCCATCCCCAGAGTGTCGAGATGGGTTATGGGGATAATAATAAAACAGGGATATTCACTCAAATTAGCTTGAAGACCCCTGCACTTCAGCGGCGTGGTCCCCACCTTAGTGCAAAGCAAGGACGCTCACGTCCTGCGCTCAGAGGTGATGAACCTGCTGGCAAAAGGAGCTGTAGAAAAGGTTCCTCCAGCCCAGAGTGAGTCAGGCTTCTACAGCCGTTACTTCCTCATCCCCAAAAAGGATGGTGGCCTCCGGCCCATCCTCGATCTCAGACACCTGAATCACGCCCTCATGAAAAGGTTGTTCAGGATGACTACACTTAAACAGACCCTTGTGCAAATTCGCTCCGGAGACTGGTTCTTTTCTCTGGACCTGAAGGATGCATACTTTCACATCCAGATAGCCCTCCGTCACAGGCGATTCTTGAGATTTGCATTCGAGGGAGTGGCTTATCAATATACAATCCTTCCCTTCGGGCTGAGTCAGAGGCAGAATTAATATCACACAGGACCCTCCTCCTCAGCCACATGGAGTACCTGGGACTCAGGGTCAATTTTGCCAAGAGCTCGTTGTTCCCCAGCCTGTGAATATCGTTCCTGGGAACAATTTTCGACTAAGCGTTTCAAAGGATGCTGGGCCTCATGGTGGCGGCATCACCAGCACTACAGTTGGGTGCTTCATATATGCCCCCTTCAGCGCTGGTTGAAACCACGGGTTCCATCCCATGCGTGGCGTCATGGACGCCTGCAGATCAGGGTGAGTCAGGCCTGTGTAACAGCCCTGGCCCCCTGGAAAAACTCCCGCTGGATGGAACAGGGCGTGGCCATAGGGATTGTTTGCAGAAGGACAGTTGCTACGACAGACACCTCCCAACTCAGGTTGGGGGGCGCTGTGCGAGGGCATACCAACTTTTGGCCACTGATCGAAGGCAGAAAAAGGCTTCCACATCAACTGCCTCGAAATGCTACCAGTATGTCAAGCTGGTCAGTTCTTCCTGCCAGTCCTAAAAGGGCACCATGTCAGAATCAGAATCAGAATCAGAATGAGCTTTATTGCCAGGTATGTTTACACATACGAGGAATTTGTTTTCGTGACAGAAGCTTCCACAATGTAACAGAATGACAGTGACAGAACAAAAAAACACAGATAATAAAAAATAAAAATAAATAAAAAATAGAACAAGTAAAATAAGGAATAAAAAATATACAAATCGACAATCGACAATTGTATGTCCAGGTATAGAACAATAGACAGTTGTATGTACAGGTATATTATGTGCAAATTGAAATGTAGACTGAGTATGTGTGTTAGATAAATAAGTGTATGAGTGAATAAATAGTGTGTGTTCCACAGTTATTGTCAAGTGTTCATGAGAGGCCTGAGGGAAGAAACTGTGCCTGTGATGGCCTGAGGGAAGAAACTGTTCCTGTGTCTGGCCGTTCTGGTGCTCAGAGCTCTGTAGCGTCGACCAGATGGCAACAGTTCAAAGAGGGAGTGTGCTGGATGTGAGGGGTCCAGAGTGATTTTGCCAGCCCTTTTGCTCAATCTGGATGAGTACAGTTCTTGGAGAGAAGGCCTGCGCTCGCTGAGAGCAGTGCATATACCGGGCAAATTGAACCAAGGAGCGGACATGTTATCAAGGAGCAATGTCCCCTCAGGGGAGTGCACGCTCCATCTGCAGACGGTTCAGAGGATCTGGGAGATCTTCGGCGAGGCAGAGGTGGACCTCTTCGCCTCAGAAGACAGCTCTCACTGCCCAATTTATTTCTCAAAGACCAGGGACACGTTGGCTCACGATTGGCCCAACCTCCTTCTTTATGCTTTTCCCCCGATCGCTCCCTGATCCCACAGGTAATCAGCAGCTTATCCAGCATAATCCCCATCCACTCTCATAGTCTATGTGGCGGCTATAGTGACCTATCATGCCCCTATTGCGGGCCAATCGGTGGGCAGAAACAGCGCTGTTATCCGCTTCTTAAGGGGTGCCAGGAGGCTGAATCCGCCTCGTCCTCCTACCGTCCCTTCATGGGATCTGCCCACTGTGCTGAGGGCCCTGACGGGCCCTG